CCCTATTGTTATGAATTTCAAATTACTGTAGGGTATATAAGGAGCTCAGTAGACAGTCTTAGAGAGACGCACAAAAATAATAATAAGAGACCCTCTAAATACCAGAGAGCCTCATTGGTTCAAGTCAGCCTCAGAATCAGTTGTACTACTGTGTGCATCTGTACTGTCTTGGTTCCACAAAAGTGCTGGAACAAGCAGTGTTAGTCTGGAGTTAAAGCTATCTGTGATACCTCAGAGAAGGGAAGGACTTGCAGTACTGTCTGCTGTCTGCCACAGCTAGTCTGTTTCTCTACTGTGAGAAATACTTCAGTCTAGGTTTGGTGTTGGAAGTCTAGTTGTAGACCTCTGAATACCTGTGTTTGCTCTTTACCCTCATCCTCAGCTAGACTCTGGTAGTCAGCTATTTTGCTTGTTTAGTTATCTGGAGATTGAAACAAAGAGATTTAACCTCTATAAAGCCTATACTCTCCCTCATCGAACACAAGGGAACTGCTCGACCAACGACAAATCCAGCATTCTCTTGGGGAACTTGACGACTGCACCGCTTAGAGATATTTAGGTGGTATTATATCAATCGCAAGTTCTGCTGACACCGCCCACTGCTCCTCGTCTGAGTCGCCTAAAAATAAATCATCCCGCTCTAGAGGCGGGGCCTCGAAATCGAGGGCGACCTCTTGGGAAGGTCGGAATGGTGGAAATAATTCCGGAGTTGGGGTCGTTGATCGTGATCGTCTGGTCCTCATTTTTAAAATTCTTGATGCAGCTTTCGGTCAATACATCAAAGGGGTGTCCCAATAAAATGTCATAGGCTGGGTCCCGGATAACATGGATCTGGAGATAAACTGTGATGTCCCCGACCTGGAATGGAATATTGTGCGCCAATCCTAACGACATGTCGATGGTTTTATTTGCCGACTGCATCTGGAGCTGAATCATAGGGTGGTACTGAAGTCCCAGTGAATGGCAAACCGCCTCCGACATTGCTATGATCTGAGAACCTGGATCTAAAATCGCCTCGACCTTCTCCTGGTTGTCTATGAGCCCCATAATGGACCGCAACGCATGAGACTCCTTGGCCACGACCAGTTGCTTCGGCGTCTCCCCCGGACCTAAACTCCGGAGATAAATCTCATAGGGGTCGGGAACCACCAACACTCCAGGACGGATCGAACTACCGCTGTGAATTAATTGCTCCACGTCTGGCAACTCCGGGCCATCGTCTTCATCCTCCACTTCCTGTATAGTGGCTTGGAGTCGAACAGCGGGTGGTGCAGGCACTTTCTTGGGTGTCACAATGTCCCTATATTTCGCGCGGACCTCCGGAGCGATGGATAATAATTCCTCAGAGGTCAAAGAAATATTCGGAGTCTTGAGCGATCGCTCGAACACCAGATTCGAGATGCGAGGATTATAGACAGGGGCCTGGGTGCGATAGGCTGGCTCCTTGGCTTGTGACGCTTCTGCTGCTTGAGCCGAGCCTTTCTCGACGCTCTGAGGAATTGCCTGCCTGGGCCTGTTGACGTCCCTTGCACTGGCGAATGGATGGATTGGTCCCTCTGACATGTGAGGTGGGGACTCTCGATTTATTGCCGGCCGCACTGCTTCGGCCACTGGCTGCTCTCGTACCGGTTGACTCTTGGCTCTAGAGGGTGCAGGACCTGCCGGACCAACTCCGGACTCCTTGGAGGGGTTGGAAGACCTATTTGGCGGAGGAACGTAGACTCGGTCAAAAACCTGCTTCCCTTTCCCTCTCAACGCAAATAATTCCCGCTCCAAGGCCTCGATTCGCTCCCGCTGATCCAAATGAAACATGTCTGTGGTCTGTGGGGCCGGTCTGTTGGACATCGCAGGGGCCATCGCAGCGTTCTGCTGAACCGCGGCTACTAGAGCTTGACTGATGGATTTTGTGATGACCTCCACCAATGATGATAGGTCCTCCGTCTTCACCACCGGTGCACTCGGAGCACTCCGAGATGGCTCCGCATGCTTTTCTGTGGTTCCCATGGCCGACGTTCCATGAAGAATAAACTCCGCCGCCTTGTAAACCTCATCTACGTTGTACGGAGTGTCCGGTTAGTGGTCTATGTCCTTGATCTGGAGGCGCGTGAATATTTTGTTCCATAACTCCGGCTGGAAGCCTCTCTGGAACGCTCTCCCTTGCTCTCGAACGGATATGATGTCGTTTTTGCGGAGGTAGCGAGTGATGAGCAGAAAATCGCGATGGAATGCCGCTAAGTCCGCCAAATTGTGGATGCCCACATGCTGCCTTTCCCCTACTACACGGTCCATATCCCCGATGCTATATCTCTGGTCCTCCTTAACGGCAGGGTATAACGCCAAGACCGCTCCCTTGAAGTCCTCAAAGCTCTTGGAGTCGTCCGAAAATTCTGGGACGCCTTTCCATAGCTTCTCCTCATACATAGGCACGTATTTCACCACTACCGCGTTTTTCGTTGCGTCATTCGGGACTGCATTTGGATGAGCGGCAAATAAGTCCGCCAGGTCCTCGAAATAGCGGAGCAAGGTCCGAGGCTGCTCCGGATCGAAGCGAGGTGCGTGCTTGTCGTAGCGAGAGGGTAGACAGTACTGATGGGAGGCGGCTGAATTAACTCCGGAGTGCTGATATTGTTGGAGGGAATTTCTACGAGGCCAGATGATGATGAGAGAATGGATTCTGAGTGTACTGGCGATGGGATAAATGGACTTGGAACGTTAAGGGCTCCGGACTCCGGGTTGAACACTGCGCGATGGCAGCTTTGGATGGTTTCTCGAAGGGGAATGTCTGGACTGTCTGGCTCCTCGGTGGAAGGTGGAACCAGATCGACTGCAGTGGCTGCGGCTAACGCTAATTGCCTACTGTGGCTATGAAGACGTCGTGGAGATGGCAGGGTGACTGGGATATATTCTGGATCCTGCACTCCAATAAGGTTCCTAAATGATAGGACGGCGGATAAAGTGTCGCCTTTGTCTAAGCGACGATTGGCTTCCTGGAAGAGTCGGGATAACTCCTCGAGAGGACTGGACGTCTTGAAATGGTACCCCCCTCACGGTGGGATCCAAAATGATATGCACAGACACACAACAATCACCAAGGACCAAAAGGAATAAACCTAAACCCCGTGATATGGGTGAAGGTGGTCCGAGACAACTGAAGGGTATTGAATAGTTCGAGGGGGAAAGGAGGAGTAAGACACCGTAGGGTAGTCCGTAGGAAGACCTAGAAAAATAAAACAAAAACCTTGACGCCTGAAACAAACACTAAGGGACGCTCCGGAGTATTTATCTCCAGAAAGTCGCAAACAAAGTCGCAAACCACGGAACCGAGTATAGGTTCGGGCCCACGGGGATAGGAAACGCTAGAAATACTTGTTTAATTTTATTTCGCTATGTGAGACTCACCGGAGCTAATTGAATCGATGGCGGAGCTAATTCACTTCGACGAGTCAGGCCTATTGGCAAAGCTAGGATCGGTTATAATTTGCTAAGTTCGACGCTTTTGAACTTCTCGGGTCGCTGAGATCGTAACGCTAATTCTCTGAGATGGTGAAGTTGAAACTTGTTTTTCTGTACACTACTTTGTACAATTTATACTACAGGAATGGCTTTGCAACCGTCCGGAGATAAATAACAAATAACCGCCGCTACCCACAGGATTGCTCAGCACTTGCCGCCGCTATACCATGCACCATACAACTCCCTTGCACTCCTACTTGCTCGTCCCAACCCCTAGAGGTCGCCTTGACACTCTGCCACCTGATCCAAGCGGTCCCATCACTCCGTGCGATGCGCCGGTCATGTGCTAATTACCTCCGGCCGCTTGCTGACTGATGCTGACCTCATCGTGACTCGTATACGTCCGCACCTTTGGTAGTTTGATGGAAACGAGAGGGAGTGAGTGTTGGAGGTTGGGCATGAGGACGACACCCCTCGATAGAAGCACCCGCGGGCCCCGGAGCTAATTCATCTAGAAGTCGCATTGGTTAAGTTGCTCCGGAGCTCCTGTTCGTGGAGATAAATCATGGAATGGGTCCGTGTTTTCAGGAGTCAGACGATCCTGAGGCTTATCACCGGACCCAACACCATTTCGGGTTCTTTGAGGTTCACGGTCCGGACATTTACCCGAACTGGACCTTGGGTCCGGTCCCAGGTCCGGAAATTTGGGCCAATAACCGGACCGAGCCGGACCGCGGCATCACTACTACAGAGAGAAACATCCCCGACTCCAAATGTAAGCAACGTCCCGACCGGACCGACGCCACTTTCGTTTCGACTTGAAGACAACTGCCCACACCCACCTGATGTGAAAGGTCAAAGTGATGCAGTGCGTAGCATTCGATAAAAGGATGCATTGACACAAGTGAGGCTGACAAATGAGACTAGTATATATCTCTGAGCGGGAACTGGGAGGAAGCCCCTTTAAATACTGATGTAGATATAAGACAGGACTATATCAATACTGTGTATGTGTCCGTACACATCAAGACTGGCATTCCACAACTTGACCAGACACTAGTACTGGAATACTTGATGGTTTCTGACTGGAGTCGGGGATTGGTGCTTGCGCCACTACGATACCTCAGTCGGTGATAGAACAGCTGAGGAAAACCAGCGGCGGCGACGCGCACGAAAAGTCTGCGCGTCGCGGGCGTTTCCGGAATGCGTCGGAACTGGTATACTACGGGAATCCTACGCTACGCTACGGGTGGTCCGAGCTGTACGAAAAGGTAATGAACGTTCAATATTACAGCGAGTTTCATAAATATGCGGAATCGCTTCAATTTTGCTCTTGAGGTCTGACTAGGTAGAACAGGCTTCGGCGATGGTCAAAGCGTGAAATGGCTTCATGTGTTGACATAGTGTTGCCCGATTAGGGCGAGGAATTGCCTGAAGGGGCAGGGAGACGTATCATACGTCCCGCGGATGTCTCGGACTACAAGTCTTCAGGCGGTCTTGGGCGTTTCCCTGTCATCGGGAGGGATTAATGACATCAGTGGATAAAGATCGTATAGACATCGAAGGCATTCAGAAGACCGGCCTCGTGCAAGGTGCGCAAAAGAAAAGTTGCGGCGATTCCGCATATTTATGAAACTCGCTGTAACAACTTTCAAACTCTGCTTTCCGTGCAATTACCACAGGCAGTTCCCGGAAGGGCCCATGCCAGTCCCTATCTTGACGGCGACGACGCAACTCGCTTAAGCACGCTATACGGAATCTACATTGCCTGCCTTTTGCTTCCTCCCCCTTCCCACCCTCTTTTTTTGATGAGCAGCAGATTGTACAGTGCCTGGTAGCTTTCCTCTCTGTGCACCTTTTTTCCCACTGGGTTATTGAGATCGCTCGAACATTATAATATCAACACAGCAGTGTCCATTTTTAACGGCTCCGCTCGCGTTGATCTCCCACACACGGGATTCGAATTCAGGTTCATCCCGATTGTGTTCGAAGCGCAGTCAACAAGAGTCACAAGGTAAACATAGAGGTAGCGCGAGAAAAGACCGCGTCTCCAGCTGTTATGTCTTGTGTCAGATGACACGCACTTCCTGGTATTGTTTATACCACGAGTCTACCAACCCCCAGCGGTAGTGCGGCTATCCCGACATGCCCAACTTCCAGGCTCCGTTGTACTATCTGGTCCCCTTACTATGGGCGCTTTTGTTTACCCGCTACAGGTTCAAGAAAACCGAGGCATCTTTGGATGGCGTACCCGCAGTGGGGTCTACAAACCCCATCCTCTCTTGGGTCGGAGCGTTTCAGTCCTTGACCGACTCTAGGACGATCCTGCAAGAAGGTTATAACAAAGTATGTGCGATTTATACTTGCATTTTGAGTGAAGCACTCATCCCGGACGTTCGTGGCTGTTTGATAGTATAGAGGTGGCTTGTTCAGGGTTCCAAGGTTCGACGGATGGACTGTGTACGTCACGAGCCCAGTGCTGGTTGAAGAGTTGCGGAAAGCACCCGACGATGTTCTATCGTTCTCCGAGGCAACAAAAAAGGTACGACCATGTAGTTAATATACGTGTTATAGCTGAACTAGTATTACAGCAACTTCAGATCAATTACACCCTCGGACGAAATATCCATGAAAACGGCTACCATATCCCGATTGTCCGTTCTCAACTAACGAGGAGCCTAACACCTTTGTTCCCGGATGTCAGGGACGAGATAGTGGCCGCTTTCAGCGACGTCGTGCCTAAAGGCGTAGAGTCAGGTATGAAGCCAAGTCCTGTATATGTGACTCGAGGGAGTTATATGGCGCCTCCTAGACTGGGTCGAAGTGCCTGCTATGGAGTCTGTGATGCAGATCATATGTAGAACGTCGAATCGAATATTCGTTGGGCTGCCCAAATGTCAGACATCATGGCATGATTGATAGCTCCTGGTCTCACAGAAATTTTAGGTCGTGACCCGGACTACATACAGCTGAATACGAGCTTCACCTTGGACGTCGTTGCGGGAGCGGCGATTATTAACATGTTCCCGGACTTCTTAAAGCCGTGAGTTGTAGGGACTGTTTGTCGTTACAAGACAATTCACACCTGCTGTCATTTGCAGAATTGCTGGGCGATTGCTAACAAACATCAGTAAGAGCGTCCAGCGAGGCATTAACCACTTACGCCCCATAATCGAAGAGCGCCGCAGGAACTTGAACGAATACGGCCCTGATTATGAGGGAAAGCCAGTAAGTTCACCGGGCGGTAAAGGGCCGAACTCATCCTGCTATATAGAACGATATGTTGTCCTGGCTTATGAGGGCAGCTGATGCAACTGAAGGGACAGTCGAGAACCTGACTCGGCGGATCTTGACAGTGAACTTCGCTGCCATACACACGTCGTCTACGGTATGTTTGGTGCCGGGACGCTTTCACAATGCCTCATCTATCTTCGCCAGAGCTTCACCCAGGCGCTGTACAACTTGGCGACCCGCCCCGAGTATGCAGCGCCTCTACGCGAGGAAGTAGATGCTGTAGTGGCGGAGATGGGATGGACAAAGGCCGCCATGCAGAAGATGAAGAAACTGGATAGTTTCATGAAGGAATCGCAAAGGTTGGAGGGCCTTGGCATCGGTAAGTCACGGAGCGTACCCTCATCTCATGGAGTATCTCATACGATGTCCACTATCAGCCGTCATGGGTCGCCTCGCGCTCAAGGGTAAGCAGTTATCTGCTCCCAAACATTGCGCTATAACCCAGATGTGTGCCAGACTTCGTATTCTCTGACGGCACCTTCATTCCTGCGGGCACCATGGTGTCTGTCGCTGCGGGGCCTATGCACCATGACGACGACGTGTACGCGAATGCGAACGAATTCGACGGCTTCCGTTTCGCGAATATAAGGGAGGAGGAAGGACAAGGAACGAAGCACCAGATGGTCTCTACCACCACAGAGTATGTCTCGTTCGGTCATGGTGAGTCCCCGTCCGACGTAAAATCGTCGTTCACTTACTTTGTCTACCGTTGCGGCGCCAACAGGTCGTCACGCATGGTCAGTCTGAACGCTCCGATATCTCGCGTCTCGTTGACTCACGATATCCCAGCCCTGGTCGTTTCTTCGCTGCAAATGAGCTCAAAGCAATGATGGCGCATGTCGTCTCCTTATACGACATTAGGTTCCCGGACAACGTCCGGCCCGTCAATACCTACTTCGCGACAGCCTGCGTACCTGATATGAAAGCCAAGGTACTGTTCAGGAAGAGGCAAGCGTAGGATGTGCGGACAGCGCAGGGGTCGATATGGAGGGACGTGGCACACTACAAGTTAAGAGGTCGATGAATGATACAGGTACTGGAATGGGAGTCATCTATAAACAAGGAAAAACATACGCAAAAGCGGATAGAGGGAAAGTCAAATAGAAGCGAAGGACTTCACCAAACATATCATGGATTCTGTATCAACCATGGCTTGTTGGCAAGGGTCCACGTATCGAGTGTTTTCCAGAAATGCGCGACAACCGATTTGTCAACATGTCGCCTGTGAGGGTCGATCTATATGGGGAGTATTATGAAAATATCAGGCCAAAGGACGCTCGGTTCATGCGAACCTTCAATTCAGTGACGTTCCAGTCTTTTATTTTCGGGTTCGGGGGGTCGTTCGTCCACGAGAAGTATATACCCTTGACTATAGCGGGCGTCAAGACAGCGATCCACATGCCTTCACCAAAAGGCTTACCATGATGGAACAGCTGCCTAGGGTCATTCCATTTGTACGGCCTGAACTGCCAGGCTTGGCCGGTCGTCATGACGCAGACGACGCGATCCCAAGCGTCGTTACCGAACTTCGACAGGGCTTCCACCGAGTCGACCACAAAGTACCGAGCCTGCGACGTGGTCTGCTTTCCCGACGGCGATATATGGGTGAGCGTCCTGTATATAGCGAGCAGGTCCTCGGGTTTGGTGTTACCCTCGGCTGTGGCGCGAGCGCGGGCTTCTGCGGATGGTTCGAATCTGAGACGGGTATGCATCAGGTGAGGGGACGTGAAAGGGACACGGAGGCGACTCACACGGCTTCTTGCAGGAACCGCTTGACATTATGCATCGTGATCAGCGCAGTCGGTGACGACGAAATCATGATGATAGGATACATATTGCCTATTGAGAGATTTAAGGGCAATATCTGTGAGCGCCGCAGCCGACTCACGAGCTTTCCGAGCCTGCAGCTTTGGGTCTGGACATATCGCGGTGAACATTACAGCGTCTTCAATACACAAGAGCGACATACCAACAGCGGGTGCAGCAGCCGTTGCAGGTGCCCCCGGCTTGCCAGACTCTTTCAGTTTCTTTAATTTCTCCGCGAACATGTCTCTGACACTCGCAAAATTCTGCAAAGTCTCACTGTGAAGATAGCGAGTATGATCAGCTGGACGTGACTCACGTTCGGCTTGATACCGCGCAGAACTGTATTTCGATCCCGCAGTTCGATCTCACTGGCTTTGATCTTCTTCACTACCTCCACGTCCTGAGGATCTGCCACGTATCTCCGCTTCACAGGTGTGGCGCCCGTGTCTCCGGATAGCGCGGATCTGGGCAACGTACGTGCGGTCGTGCTTGACCCAGCATGAGGTGGTGAACCGGGCGGTGTTGTCGACCCACCCTCGCCTGCAGCACCAGGAGGGGGCTCGATTCAAGTGCTCCAAATCGTAAACCTGACTTACCTGCTAGCGGGACGATCCTCTCATGCTCCACCTTCTTACCCTCCAACCACTCAACGAGTCCCTTCCTCTCCGTCACGCTCACGAACCCGACCATAAGCCCATTCTCTCGCACTGCCTTCATATATTCCGCCCCTGGCGCATCTTTGAGCAACCATGCAAGGTAAACAGCATCCAGCGAGAAGAAGTCATCGGGATTGGATGTCGGGTGACTAGATTGTGAAGCTCCAGGTCTTAGGAAGCGTGTCGGCGTAGATTTTGGGAAGGAATGCGGGGGGATATCGATATGCGTAGCACTAGCCAAGCTTGGCGCAGTTTCTCCGTTCATTTTGTACGAGATTGGAGTGCCACTTTGGATGACACGCCGTAAACTATCAAGCGGGTCGACAGACATTTAGAATCGTGATTTCTCTGGAGATATAGGTTCGTCTGATCGGACTCCCGTCGAAGAATCGGGTAACCAGTATTGTAAGTTCGGCAGCGTCAGTCAACAAGGGTCATACACCTGAGCAAAGCCTTGAGTTCAAGTTGGTAGTTGAAAGAGAACCCGGTCAGCGGTCAGCAGGCAGCCACACTTGAGCCACATGAATGATGCTAGGTGTTGTTTGTTCCAGCCAAATACATGGGTGGCGCGAGTTTAAACCCTAGTGGTCCGTTTGGAAAATCCTGAGGTGCAGTACATCGGGATGCTCACTCGAAAAAGCGGGAGCCATCTCCGTCTTTCACTGGCTCTAGATAGCGGTGCCGTGGCCTGAGTCTTGAGACGCATTATCCTTTGTATGATAGCCGTTTGCAGATGGATAGACCATTCAGAGAACTGCATATATTGTAGACGGATTGGGTGCCAGGGACGTCGGAAGAAGGCTTAAAGTCCGGATGGTTTGATTTCTGTCTCTCGGGGACTTGAAATTGGCTCTCCGACGTGGGCCGACTGTATATGATTTTTGAAAAGTGGGCCATCGATCTGCGACGTTGAATATCGGCAATTCTTGCATAGCCGCCCAAAGGCTGCTTGGTCTCAATCAGTCGCCATGCCTGACAAGCCATACTAGTGACGTGTGCATATGGCTTCAGGTCTATGGTTAAACAGTCGAAGTTTTGCCGGTAAGCACACGGACTTCTGTTGTGCTGATGAGAACCAGAAGACGTGGCGATAGACATGGGAGAAGCATAATACAGTGGATAGATGCGTACGTACGATCTGAGTCATCTGACAGATCCGAGCAAAGAAGGTTTTTACAGCAATGATAGTATTGCAGCCTGGTCTGCGGTACCAGTGCGATCATGAGATGCGAACATTAATATTCACATTCTACCGGGTCTGCTACGCCACAGTCCCCAACCGAACTCGTGGTACGTACGGATATTCAGTCCAACCACAGTTTAAGCCAATAATGCTCACGTTCCGGTGGTTCTTGATTATAGGACATGAATTAGATTCAATAACATCAGATGTGCGGGAGCTATAGCGGCGCGATATGTGCTATGGATTCGGGCAGGACTGACAGGATGGCTGTTGCGTCTAGGCCAAGTGACTCGAAAGATCGCCATCCGACGATATCTCAGACTTATATGTCATGTTCATTGATGAGCAATGCACTGTCTCAATGGCAGAACGCTGCGGTGCCATGCTTGCTGACCGAGTTTTTTTCCGCTGCTGTTAGCATCTTGCAATGCGCGAGCTGGATCTATCAGACATTGATCATAGATGAATGCGCTCCTGTCCCGGTAACACTCCAAGTACTTAGTCAACGAATTTCCCTAAAGGTAAGCCACAATTTAGGTTATATACGCCTGATTTCTCTCTCCGGACAGCAGATAAGCTCATGGCCCCCGTCCTTTCGCCAATCCTTGCAGCCCTATTCCAGCCCCTCTACATCGGGGGAGTGCTCTCAAATATGTGACCTAAATCTCCTACTTAAACCTTTTGCGCGCTTAACTTCCAACTCCCGTAGACTGTACGGGGTTGGTTGTGCTCAGACGACGTGGTACTACCGTCAGTATACGAAAGATGGGAGGCTCTTGAAATTTCTGGTACGTGCACATTTTTCACCTATGATTTGTTCTCTAACTTCCTCTGTACCGCGTCTTTCAGGTGGGATCTCCATGGGTTGTGAGTCCACAATCTCGGGTGGCACACTCTCGCGAACTCGCCGATCGTCCCTAGGTGGACACTGTGCACCAGGTTGTGTTAAATATCATCTTTTATCATTACCTCGTGAACCGCTGTGGCCAGGACTTAATAAAGTGCCTAACAACAGAGCATTGGTACGTTTCGGCCCACATCACTGCTGTTACGGCCATTCCGACTGATTGATTTATAGGAGTATGGTTGTAAGAAATCGTCCTCTTCCTTTGGCCGTCTTTTCAGCTAAAAATTGCATCTAGTGTCAGGCACTTCCCGCCGTAAGTGTGATTAATCTGTTTCATGGCTTTAAGGATTTATCCGAAACATCAGGCGATGGGTGCTCTCATTGTGGAATGGTATATTCACCTTTCACTTCTCAACCGCACTCGGAACTCACGCGTTGTCCATCGTATTTGTTCAGTTTCTACATCGGACGAATATGGATTCGTAAGCCCCATATCCACCGTACTCTGACCCAGGTTGATGGTGCGATTACCAGTGGGACGGAACAAACTTGTTTACCTGATTGCACGTACCGCCTTTTATCCCGTCCCGCTCATCACGCTGATGTACAGGACCCTAGGTGATACCAGCGCTCACGGCTTTCGGTACGATGATCCGTTCCTTTCCCGGTCCACACTCAGAGTGGATGGTTCATGATTTGTCAGGTATATCGATAGGTGAGACTATCCCGGCAGGGTTTAGGAAGCGCAATTGATATATAGGCTGCATTAGCATATGTCATTTTGAAGTGAAGGTCCAACGTTGCTCATACATCTTTCGTGGTCTGAAACCCTAGATCAGTCTTCAGGATGCCACTTTCCCCTTGTACGGGGCCGGGCTACGCTTTTCGCAGGTCTGCAAACGTTTATTTGGGAACAGTAAGACGAGGCGGGGCATTGCTTGTGCTTACGCTATCGTCAACAGATAATTGTCTCATCCACAGCCGCTGCCTACTGTCTTACCGATATAGCCACCTCAATCACAATGTGCTATCTCCTACGTCGGTCAAGGACGCGAGGACTGACAACCTCCAGGTAGCGATCATCCGTTATCCTCTCATCTCATCCCATTCCATGTACTTCTAGGTCATTGCTCGACCTACTGATCAAGTTCACAGTCACTACCGGACTATTGTCGTCGTAAGCAATAAGTCATATATTCAGAGGTCAAGGCTAATGCACCTATCTTCCAATTTAAGGATGATAAACATCTCTCTGTTAGTTGTGGTGCGTAGTGCTGCAAAAGCATTCGCTTGTAACAGTCTAGCTGACCTTGCTACCAAGATTGTGGCACCCCTCAGTTTGTTCCACAGAACAGCCTGGGTTGAATATACTTCATTCACGGAAAAGGTACGTCTCCTATTCTTGCCACCCCCCTCGTCTCTCATCCTCATTGGCATGTCCAGTCTACGTCAATTCTATGTTGGCAGTGTAAGTGTTGCATCTTCCAGTATAAATATCGAGCATTAATCACGGACGCAGTCTCAACAGCCGTGCTGTGTTTCGGGATAGACTGCGTAGTAAGTTAGCGGAGGATATCAGTGAATCATCTGCAACCGGCTCGAGTCGTGACACGTAGATACGAGGGCCCCCACATTTCCCGCGACTCGGAGATGAACGAAAGCGTGTGCTGTTGTGTTCCATGAGTACGCCATTTAGGGTGCAGAACGCGCCGTCTGTGAATCATACGTTTGTTCAGTGGGTCTCGTCGTCAAAACATCGTTCTTCAAGACCGAGTCCTCAGTAGTTAACAAGACGAGGACCTACTAACAAAGGGATCCGCAGACCATTGAAGTAGAACGTGCACTCTTATCAGCAGTTCAACCAAGCCCCCCCAGACACGGACGTATTCTCGTTCCCACCTTATGTAGGGAATGCGACGCAGCAACTTGTGAGGGGCATCTTCACTATCATGGAATATTATTACGGTTTAAGTACGAAGTCCGTTGCTCCTAGACTGGAGACTTGCGCCCCCGTCATTCGCAACAGCGCAACACTGAAGGGTCCATCCACATACGATTTCAATCAGGTTGTCTGTTAGGAAGGGTTTCCGTGTTCCTCGTTCCTTGTGTGCTGGGATATCCGCCCTTGGTCAAACAGGCGTATTTTAGGTACACACTGCGGGAAGTAAAGGCGTTTCGGAGCAACGCCGAAGGCACTGCTCAGTAAGTGCCCAAGGCACTTATATTATGAGCCACACCCGCTTGCGCGGCACACTTTACAAGTGCCCGAGACACTCTTTCCTGAGGTGCCCAAGGCACGGATTGGGACATTTTTACTATTACAGCAAAGTGCCCCGGGCACTTTTTAGCAAGGGAGTAGTGCCCTCGGCACTGTAGATGTGTGACCTCGACGTTTCGCTTCAGTGACCTTGGCACTCCTTGTTAGATATCTCGGCACTCTTATGTATACTCAGGTGTTCATAGGAGTAGAGCACATATATATTACTATTTTATATTGACTACATCTGAGTTGACTACGGTCAATAACAGCTCTCACTGGCCTGAAAGGCGGCGCGGTCCCATCATGGCAGCAGTGTCGCCAGCTACTGCAGCATCTAGGTAGTCACCATTCATACGTTGTCTACCTAGCAG